CGCCGTGCGAGGCAACGCCGCGGTCCTGGATTACTGCCGCACCTCGGTGTCGGCGCTGTCGGGGGCCACGGCCGGCATCCTCGGCCTCACCGGCCTCTACGGCTTCATCTTCTACCTGCTCGCCTCCGTCCTGCTCTCCCTGCTGCTCATCCTCAAGGCGGGCAGGAGGTGGAACAAATACTTTAAGTCCCGGAGGCCCCTCTTCACGGGCGGCCTGGTCGGAGGCCTCTTCACCTACGTGCTGTTCTGGACGTTCCTCTACGGCATGGTGCACGTCTACTGAAGCGGGGCGGGGCGCCCCGACTCTCGGAGAAAAGCAGACGGTGACAGCGTGTAGACCGACTTCGTTTTTAAGTGGCTGGATTCACTGCTTGTTCTGTAACGTTATAACTTAGACCGGAGGACGGAGAGCCTGTGATAGCCTTCAGATTAAATTGAAGCGTGAGCCGCCTGACGGAGTGTTTCCTGCCTGAACGCACCCTCCCCGCCCTCGCCCCAACCCCCCGTCTGTCGTGGGTGCAAAAGCACCAGGTGTTGATGCTCCTGGAGAGCCGGGAGTGAGGCGTGGCCGGCGGTAACGGAGGGGACTTAACTGTTCACACCTGTAGAACCAGTAACTGGGGGTGTGTAGTGTGTGCCCTGTATACCAGGCGTGATGCCGCGTGGGTTTTACACGCCCATGATCTCGTTTGATTCTAGCAATGTCCTCATGGAGTAGATGTGGTCCTTGTCCCCATTGGTGCACCTAAGGCTCCAGAGGAGGCACAGCTCCGAAGGACAGAGCCCGGATTCACATGTAGGTCTCTTCCCCACCCCAATATATTTTTCTTGGTTTCAGAGAGGAAGGGAGAGGGAGAGAGAAACATCAATGATGAGAGAATCACTGATTGGCTGCTTCCTACATGCTCCCTACAGGGGATCGAGCCACAACCAGGGCATGTGACCTCCCTGTTCATAGGTCCACTCTCGAACCCTGAGCCACGCGGGCTGGGCCACGTGTCGGTCTCCTAATTGCTCTTGCTGTATTGGCTGAGTGAACCTTTTCCAGCCCCGCTTTCCCTTCCACTACCCACTGCTTTCAGGTGTGAGTGGTGTCCTGTCAGTTCCGTTTCACCTCGTTACAGCCAGCTGTCATTTCCACTTAAAAAAATTCAAGCTCTCTTCTAAAATATGTCTCATGAAGATTAGACAGATTGGATGTTTGTCAACTAATCTGTGGGCTTGTCTAGAGGATCTCTGTATGCTAATCGGTGATTCCTTCTTGTCAGGAGGAATCTTATAATAAAATTCATATTTTAATTGAGGGATAAGTATTGCGTTAAAGTTATAGTAGTGAACATGTTGCTCATGGGATTTGTAGTCTTAACTGGGAAGACCAGCATTACCTAATTTCACAAATGTTTGAATGATGGTAAGTGCTATGAAGAGACTACATAGGCACTCCAAACTGAACCCAGGTGGGGAGGGGGGTCAAGAAAGTCTTCTTTGAGGAAATCACATTCTCGAAGGCTGAATAACAGCCAAGTGTGGAGAAGGGTACTTGGAAGAAAGCACGTGTGTGAGGGCCATTGGGCAGGAAGGGGTTTGGCCTGTATCTGAAGCTGAGATAGAGCTGGACCAGAAAGAACATGGAGGGCCATGGTGGAGAGTGGCTTTGATTCTAAGAGCAACTGAGGGAAGTCTTCAGGAGTTTTAGCCCAGAGTTATGTGATCAGATTTGGATTTTTTAATCAGTTTTAAATCAGAAGGGAAATAGATTGAACCCAAGTCCCCTTTTGCAGACAGTATTGGACCATGGCCAATAATGGAAATGGGTCTGGGATCCAGGCTGCCTGAATCCCATTTGGGTTCCGGGCTACGTGCTTGCACAGGAAGCCAAGAATCGGAGGCCACAGCTTCGCCTCCCTCTCCCCCAGTGGCTTCCTCTGAACCCACTCCGTCCACCACTGAAGATACTCGCTTTAATGGTTTGCATCCCCAATCCTCTCAGGGCCTTTTCTGAGTGGGAAGGGGGAGTTCATTCCTGATGTGGGCTAAGGAGGAAGAAGCAGTGGGTCCTACTTGGGGGAGTAGGAAGGAGGGGAGGCAAATGAGCTGATTTACCTAACCATTCCTCCATTGTTAAGCAGTAAGGTTGTTTGAAATGATCACTATTATAAAAATACTGCAATGAATGTCTACATATCTATATTGTTTTGAGAATAGGCTAGAGCAGAAGATTAAAACTTAATTTCAAATGCTTTCCAGAGTATTACCAGATGACTCGTTGAATGAAAAGTGCCAGTTTTATCAGTGCCTTCTTAGTCTTAATGTTTGCTCATTTAAAGAGTTTCCTTACTTTCATTTTAATTTCTTTGCAAGATAATAAGGAACATAATATATTGTCCGCTAATGCTTTCTGTGTCTGCCTCTTTTGGGCTTTCTCCTTACATTTTAATCTAAAACATGGGTGACCATGAAGACGTGAAGGGGGAAAAATCATGACACATCTAAAGTTAACCTTTGTGTCGTTTTATAACCAAATTAAAATGTCAGAGAATACATACACTGGGCCGTCCCAGAAAATGTGCCAGCTTCCTCCCCCTCCCTTTGGTTCTGTGTACCTGCCTGAGGGGAAACCACCAGCTGGAAGAAAGGTGTGCCTTAGGGGGAGAGCATTCTTGTGTCCACTGGAGAGTGTGCTCTGAGGAAAGGTGTATCACTTGGGTGCAGGGGGTGGGTTGGAACCAAGTGGAGCCCTTTTCCAGATATACAGGATGCCATTCCAAGTGGAATGACTTAGCGACTCTGTAGTCCCTAAGCTGTAGTCCCTAAGCAGAGCCCAAGTGGAATGACTTAGCGACTCTGTAGTCCCTAAGCAGAGTGCTGTAGTCCTTAACCTGGTGCTTAGAGACTCCTGGAGGAAGTCACATTCCCCCTTCACAGCTGGTCCCCCAGTTGGCAGCCAGCCACTGAGAAGAAAGAACTGATGGGGTGGCAGGGGAAAAGGCAGCTGTGATTGGTCAGTCCTGATGGCCCCTGCATCGGGAGTGGAGTGCACTGAGCTCTTTCCTGGCTGGTCCCTGTGATGTCATATTGATGGCACCCAATTTACAGATTTATTTTTGAGCTGTAGCATGGCACTCCCGAGGCGTGGAATAAAAACACAGCAGCAGCAGGGGAATGTGCAGAAGCAAGGGGATGTGGGTAGTGTGCAACTGTCCAGTGCTGTGATGGGTCACTGGCTTTTCTGAGCATGGTGTCCCTGACAGGTAGCAGGGAGGCCACCTGGACAGCTTTTCTGGACTTGAAGAAATAATTAGGTTGAGCAGGTCCTCTATGGCAGTGAAGTTTATTGGGGCAACGCTTAAAGTTGAAAAGGCCTCACAGCTCCAGTCACAGTCTTCATCCAGTTCCTTGGTTGCTCCTCATGCCACGGTTTTCTTTTACGCCTGATTCCCTTACCTGGAATGCTTCCTCCGTCACCTACTTAGACTGCTACTAACCATTCAGATGTGAGCTTATGAGTCGCTTTTTTGGGGAAACTCTCTGGCTACTCCACCGAAAACTCAGTTCAGTCTGTGGTGTGTGTGACGACCGGTTATTAAGGTTTAGCCCCAGGACTGGAAACACTCCAGCAGGGACTCCGTGTTGCTTGCCACTGTGTCGCTAGCATTTAATCCAACACTTGACACAGTAGGTATTCAATAAATATTTACTGACTGAATAGTGTAGGAGGACATTTTCATTCCAATATAAAATAAACAGTACAACTGTTGCTATGTTTTATGGCTCCTGCCAAGCAATTCCAAAAATAGGTTAAGAGAAACCAGATCAACCCTGAGCAGCCATGCCCCTGCCCTTGTTACTTCCTGCTAAACATAAAAGAGGCTAGATTACCCAATCCAAGAGTTGGCTTTAGTGATGAAGTGAAACATCATAATGGATCGCCCTGATTTTTCACTTTTTTTAATATATTTTATTGATTTTTTTTTTTTTTAAGAGGAAGGGAGAGGGATAGAGAGTTAGAAACATCAATCAGCTGCCTCCTGCACACCCCCTACTGGGGGATGTGCCTGCAACCAAGGTACATGCCCTTGACTGGAATCGAACCTGGGACCCTTTAATCCTCAGGCCGATGCTCTATCTACTGAGCCAAACCGGTTAGGGCAATTTTTCACTTTCTATTCAGAGAGCAGGTGGGCTGTGGACTGGTTACCAGGCAGCCCACGGTGAGGGAGCTGCTTGCTCCAAAAGGGTTCCTGTTCCGGGGACCACAACCTTCTGCCCTGGTGGTGGAGCCTCACCAGAAACCTTCCTGTATTGTGTGCCCTGTATACCAGCCCTTAGGAAGACTGACCCTCTCCAAAGGCCCCAGGGGAAGGGTGCTCACCCCTCCTGTGTGTGCAGAGAACCAGGCTCCCCTGACTCCAGGGAGGTCCGAGGGAGCACTTCCAGTAGGAGCTCCCCAGTGTCCTGGCAGCTGTGCAACGGGCCCTGCAGGCCTTTGCGGCCATAGTTCAAGCAGAGTTCTAGGCCTCTCCCCCTGGGTTTACACAGAGGCTCCCAGACACGGGGAGGGAGAAGTGAGCTCTCTGGCTCCCAGCCCATTCCATCGTGTCCCTTTCTGACAGGAGACATGGTCTGATGCTGCAGGCATGAGGAAAAGTTAATGTCCTGAGTAACAAGTGGATTCTCAGTTTGAAAACGAGGGAGCCTCTTGGAATTGGTAATACAGGTGGCCTCAAGAACGGGTGGGAGGGAAGCTTTTGCTATTCTTTTGTACCTTTAAAATTTTGAATCATATAAGTGTTGCCTAGTTAAAATATTTTGATTTAAATGAATTGAGTGTAATGCTCCTTTCCCTGGGGCAGGAAGGGGGGTCCTGTCGTTTCAAAGGAGAATGTGTATACTAGTAAGTTTGGCCTAAAAATTGGCACCACCCACCGAAGCTGGCTCTTTACTCCCTCGGAACCAGGCTTTGCAGAGCTCCTCACACTTGCAGGGCTTCTGAGTGTAAGGAGCACACGAATCCCCTGGGAGCCCCACTGCAACACAGGCCCTGATTTAGGAGGAAGGGAAGGGCTAACAAGCTCCCAGGTGATGCCGAGGCTGCTGGTCCAGGGACCACACCTTGAGGAGAGACGCTCTACAGACAGTAAGGGAGGGAGCAGCAGGGTGGGGTGGGGAAGGAGGGTGAGGGGTGAGGGCCTCCCTAACAACTGTTCCCACCTGCTGAGTGAGCACCCTGTCCTTAGCCCTTCAGACCCAGCCAGCCTTTGAGGAGAGAGGAAGGGGAGCTGGGCAAGGACACCCAACCCCACAGAACAGCAAGAGCCAAACCAGAGACAGTGTCTCCCATCTGGGCGAGATGCTATGCCCATAGCCTCCCCAGGCTGGGCAGGTGAGACTGGAGTGAGGCCTCCCTGCCTCCCCTCTGTGAAAGTCAGAGGCTGGAGGAAGGCCAGAATGGCTGAGCCTGGCTGTGAGTCTGTTGTCTCTAGAGGGAATTACACAGTTGCTCAGCTCCCTGAGGGCCAGGTCAGGGTCTCATTTAAGCATCTCTTGGATAGGGCCCAGCCCACAGCAAAAAAAGTTTACTGCATGTATGAATAAATGAGTGAATGAATGTCCAACTAGGTTCTCAGAAAACATGAAAACACCTAGTATCATTTACACCCTGGCCTGCCCCTGCCCTCTCCAGCGTTTCCCCTCCCCCACACACAACAAAAAGCTTGTAACAAGATCCCAAAGTGCAGGAGGGATGGCGGCTCCTGGAACCCCCATCCATGCAGACACAGAGGCTCCTCGCTCTTCCCGTTCAGAGCTGCAGCCGGTTCTGCCCAACGTCTTCACTAAATCTGCTCTCAGCCGCCTCTGGCTACGCCTCCACTGTCTGCAGGTTCTGCAGCTGCTCCACGGTCACCTTTCCATTCCCCGGGTGGCCAGACCTGCGTGTGGGTGGTGAGGGGCACACAGAGGGTGGTTGGGAACCTGTGGACAGGGACAGCCTCGCACAGGCAGCACTGCAGGCAGAGCATCCGCAGAGAGGGGCAGTGCCGGGGTCCCTGGTGCAGCCCAGGCACTCAGATGCTCAGGCCGGGCCTCTGGAGCTGCCCCAGCAATGACAGCAGCCACCACATGACCAGCATGGTGGCCATTCTTCCCTCTCACAGGCTAAGGAGCTCAGGCAAGCACCCAAGAAGTGACAGTCAGCACAGGGAGCATGTGGGGGCTGCTGGGTGCCCAGCCACCCCAGCAGATCCACTGCCTCCTGGCCCAGCTGCTGCAGTCCCTACAACCTCTCTTCACTCCTCTCCATGCTCTGCCCTTCCTCTCTGTCCTTTCCCTGCCCAGGCCCAGCTTCTGGTTGGAGGCTGCCAACTCCTGAGTTGGCCAAGAATGAAAGCTGGGGTGGGAGGAAAGTCCACCCAGGCCAGTGAACTCCTCCTGGGATGTGGTTACAAGAGGAGAGTCACAGAATCGTAGCCTGACTGAACATGGGGGCTCCTCTGTGCAGCCCCCACTGGGGAAAAAATGGGGGGAGGGAGGCAGGCCCAGAAAAGGCCAGGCCCCTGCTCAAAGGCACAAAGCAAGGCAGAGGGGCCGGGCGGACCTGAAGGCCACCTCCTGCACCAGGTTGAGGTTCCATCTTCAGAACCAACCGTGCTGCCCAGGGAAGGACCACCTGTCAGCACAGCCACCACCCTTCTGAGCCTAGGGCAGCTGCAGAATTTCCACTGAGAGGCACTTAGGGAAGGCATCTGACTGGGTGAGGGGGTGGGGGGCTTGGTAAAGCAGAATAACCTGATGGAAAAGAACTGATTCTAAATCTAGACACACTGCCTGGATTCAAACCCCAGCTCTGCCATTTATTAGCTGTATGACTTAACTTACTTAACCTTTCTGTGTCTCTGTTTCCTCATTAGTGGAATAGAGAATGTTAGTGCCCAGCTCATTAAAGTTGCTGATATGAGTTCACATATACAAATTGCTCAGAGCTGTGCTGGGCAGAGAGTGAGCCTGAGTAAATGACAGCACTGTTGTCTTAACGCTGGGATAGCACAGCAAGCAGACTGCCTTGTGGTTGCTTAGGGGGGCTGGGGAGCTAATGAGGGTCATGGAGGGGCTAAAGCACCACCAGCACCCTCTCCCCCCAGAGTCCAGCTTGGTTGGGTGCTCCTGGGTCCTGCCTTATGCACAGGTCACCACAGAGCAGGGACCACAGCAGCCTGCTCCAGGAGGTGCCAGCACGCTCAGCCATTCTCCTGGCCACCTTCGTCCTGTGCCCAGCAGCCCAGGCCCCTCTTCTTCCTTCAGCCTCTGTGACCCTGTTCTGCTGCAAGGACTCTGCCCACAGGGCAAGGATCTCTAGGCACCTGGGCAGGACTTGCCGTTAACCTGGCCTGCACAGCCTGGCCTCCCCCAAGGACTGGTGGGGCAGGCCCTGCAGACGGTGCCCCTCTTCCTCCAGCAGCTCAGTTGGGGTGGCAGGAGCGGTCAGGGCTCAGCCTAGGAACCAGGCTGGGGTTCAAGCCAGGTGAATGATACGAGCTGGCCACCTGCTGTCTCAGGTTGTGGTGGGACTGAGGGAGCGCCACTTCGAAACTCCCCATTCTAATCCCAGCTCCTCCAGGGAGCCTTCCCAAGGGCTGGGCCAGAGCCCCTGCCCCTTCCTTCCCGCCCACAGACACACAGCCTGGAAATGGGCTCCTGTAGTAAAAAAAGGAAATCCATTTTTTTCTTCCCTTACCACTCCAGCCTCAACCCCAGCCCAGGACCACCAAGTCCAAGAATACTAAATTGTAACTGCAACAAGTCACCGTATATAAACCAATTCTCTCATTTTGCAGAGAGAAATTGAGGCCCAAGGAGGCTTGGAAACCAGGTCTGCCCACCAGGTATGTGGTGGCTTTTCCCTCTGCCAGCTGCTCTGAGGCGGAGTCTGGTTCTGTAGAGAATGTACTCAGAACAGTCCACCTTCCCTCCCTTCCGGGGCGGCTCCCCATGTTCACCCCTGCCTCCACCCACCAGGCGCAGCCATCCACCCAGGGTAAAGGTCCTAAGACAGGGAGGGGGAGGCTGGCTCCACAGGGCTCCCCTGGGACTACTGGGGAGGAAGCATAACTGACCGTACTTCCTCGAATTTCTTGTTGCGGTAAAAGTGGCTCTTTTTGATGAAGTAGATGAGTATCAGGTCGCAGAAGAAAGACCCCTGCAAAAGAGTTGGGGGTCCCTGACTCAGACCCTAGACTTCTGGAGAGCCCACAGGCACCTGACCACTGTATCCTGTTTGATCCTGTAACAATCCCAGAAGCGTGCATCGTTGTCCCCATTTCATAGATGGGGAAACTGAGATCAGAAAGAGGTGCCTTTTGCCCTAGCTGGTTTGGATCAATGGATAGAGCATCGGCCTCAGACTGAAGGGTCCCAGGTTCGATTCCAGCCAAGGGTACATGCCTGGGTTGCAGGCTCGATACTCAGTGAGGGGCGTGCAGGAGGCAGCCGATCCATGATTCTCTCTCATCATTGATGTTTCTATCTATCTCTCCCTCTCCCTTCCTCATATAATTTTTTTTAAAGGCACCTTTAAGGTCACAAAGCTGGTCCACAGCAGAGCCCAGGTGAGCCTGAAGTCCATCTAATCATGTTTAACAAACATTTGCTGAGCATTCACACGTGCCAGGTACTGCCCTGGGGTGCAGGGAGGACTAAGGCAATGAGACCCTCTGAGGACTCTCCCTCTCTGGTGCAAGAGACAGGCATGAAACTTATGACACACGGTGATGTGTCTTATGATGGGGAGAGGAGGAGCAAGGAGAGCAAAGGCAGGACTTGACTCAGTCTGGGTTGAGTCTTGAGGGCTAAATAGGAATTAATACAAAAAGCTCAGGAAGGGCATTGCAGCAGCAGGAACAAGCTCATCATGCCTGGGAAATCCCACAGGGCTGTGGGGAAGAGGAAAGACACTTCTGGAGAGCTGGGTGGGGCCAGCCTGTGACGCTTCCTGAAATGTCTTCAAGGCACTGGTTCTCTTCCTCTCGGCAGCACTGAGGGCGTTGAATAGGGCAGAACACAGTCAGAACTGCGGCATTTTGAAAAGATCCCTCTGGGAATCAGTGTAAGAGATGGGTGGTAGGGGGTCTGAATAACAAGGATGCCGCACGATGGCCAAGGAAAGATGAGGCAGCCTGTGCTGACCCAGCTGGGACCCGCTGACACCTGAGCACATGCACTTCAGGCAAAAATGTGTGGTGCAACACCTGTCTCTTCCACCAGAGGGCGAATCCACCTCAACACACAGCCGGTTTCCAGAATGAGTAAGGGTGGGGGGTGGGAAGAGTTGATGGATGGGCCACAGGTGAACCTGGTCCTCTGACCCTGGGCTCTGCACACCTTTTTTTCCCCCCCAGATGCTAGAAATGCTTTTTTATCAATCTCTTGTTCCACAGAGTCACGGTGGAGAAACCCTATATAAATAGGTGGACCCTACCGCTTTTTAGAATTTTAAAGTTCAGGGGCTAATCCAGCTGTTGTATATTTACCCCATGGAATACTATGCAGCTCTAAGAAAGAAGGAACTCTTACCCTCTTCGACAGCATGGATGGACCTGGAGAGCATTATGCTAAGCAAAGTAAGCCAGTCAGAGAAAGACAAATACCATATGGTCTCACTTATATGTGGAATCTAATGAACAAAATACACTGACGAACAAAATAGAACCACAGGTATGGATACATGGAGCAGACTGACAGGTGTCAGAGGGAAGGGTAGTGGGAGAGACTAGATGAAAGAAGGTGAAGAGATTAGCCAAAGAACACATATGCATAACCCGTGGACACAGACAGCAGTAGGGTGAAGGCCAGAGGGAGGGGTGGTGGGGGCTGGCTGGAGATGGGCAAATGGCAGGGAGAACAGGGACATCTGTAACTGTCGATAATAAAAAATAAATAAAATTCAGGGGCTAATCCTGTATCCCAGAGAACCCCCAGCTCCAGAGAAATAGGCAGATGCCTCTGGCTCTAGAAAGAGAAATTCAGGCAGTTCTCTGCCCCCTGGGGCCACTGGAGGGGCGTGAAGTCCCAGAAAGCCCTCTTTACCGGCTCCTGCGCTGACCTGTCAGTTCTTTGTTTCTGGGGCATTTGGACAACTCCCCCTCCCCCCACCAGTGTGCAGAGGGTAAAGGGGAAGGAGGGGAGAGGTACTCACAACACCCATGAGTGCCACCCCTGAGCCCACGTTGATGATTGTGGGGATGATGTTGAACTTCCCTGCCTGAAGCACAGAGAGAGACAAGGCAGGGTGAGGGAGCAGGTAGATAGCAGGGTCCCTCCCAACATGCTTGCCCCGCCCTGGACCTGCCCAGCCTCCCAAGGGGAGACGCAGCTCACACACCCTGCCATTCACCAGGACATCAAAGCGGATCCCGTAGGCTTTGATCAGGGTGCGGAACTCCACCCCGGCTTCATCGCGGTAATATTTGGCAAACCTGGGGAGACACAGCCCAGGGGAGACCTCAGCCTTCCTGGGCCTTCCCTGTTTGGCAACAGACTCAGCTGCTTTTGAGATTTATAAGCATCCCGGGACCTCGCTCACAGCAGCCCCGGGAGAGGTTGCAGACCCTCTTGCTGACATGCCTAAGATTCATCCAGATCTTTGAAGTCCTTGTCAGACATCCCCAAGAGGCAGGGGCTTTCCCACTGCACACTGGGCCAACCTGGGGCCACCAGAGAACGGATAGAGCTCAGCCAGCTGAGAAGTCAGGCCTCAGCTTCGCCCGGAGCCCAGGGCGATGACCCACCCTCTCTCCCCTCCCAGAGGCCATCCCTCTCTCAGCTGTCTCTCCCTGTACCTCCCCTGACATCCCCAGGAAGGGGTGTCACAGCGCTGGCACCCAGGGAAGGACACGAAACATGGACAGTCATAGGCAGCAGGCCCAGTCTGTTACCTGAAGTTATACCCGGAGGAGATAGAGTTTCCGGGAAACCTGCGGTCCAGGCGGCTAAAGTAATAGCGAGGGTTGCATTCAGAAGGAGCTTTGTCGAGATCACAGTCCCACTCGATCTGGATCCCTATCACACCGCCCTGGATGGGAAAGAGGAATCGTGTCTGGGAGATGGACAGCTGGACAAGACTGGCCTGGCTGGAGCATCCTGGAAGGGAGGTGGAAGGCCCAGGAGGGGCTGGGGAAAGTGTTGCCGACAGCCCCCAGCCCCCGCCGCCTCCTGCCTCCTGCTTCAGAGAAGACGAGAACTCCCCGGTGAGCACCGACTACACTATGGGCAGGCACCTTACACACAGCCAGGATGTGCCCGTGGGGCTCCTTTTGGTTCAGTTTCGGCTGCTGCCCAAGCGACTAAGAGCCAAACGGCAGGTGCTGAGTGTGCCCTCACTGAGTGCCCGAGGTCCGAGCGCAGGCACAGCCGGCTGTGTCACAGCGAATTCTGAAAACAGGAAGTCCCTGGGGCAGGTGACTTTGCAGGGCCACCCCCACCCCATGGGCCCCCCACACACACCCCTCCCCATTCAGACCCCTGAGGCCCCAGGGAAGGCTCCCTGAGGGCACGCCACCCACCTGCAGGGCTATCTCCTGGAAGTTGCTCCCTGTCCAGCTGACCACAGACCCCAGTCGGAAGATGGGGCAGTAGGGGTCCTTGGGGCCAAACCGACAGGACCTCAGGTAAGCTCTGTCTTTGGTGTCCAGCACATTGGTCCTGAGGGGCGGCCATGAACAGACGGTGAAATGAAAGTAGACTTGCTGTTTCCAGGCTTAGTCCCTGACTTTAGCCCTCGGCCGGAGCCCCAACCACATCCATGCTAACATCCCACCGCATTCAAGAACAGACCCCCACCCCACAGCAGGACGAGGCGCCCAGCATCTCCCTGCGGTCCATTCACACACACACATACACAGGGGCCTATGCACAGCCACCAGGAGGGCCAACCATGGCCCCAGCCCTGGGTCCCCATAGCCGAGCCCCACATACTTGGAGAAGTTGAATTTAGGGAAACGAATGAAGTTCTTTATGTAAATGGTGAAGTCTTCAGCCTTGCCCAGGAGAGGCTTCCTGAA